AGGGCACTGACCTCCCCACGCTGTCCCAAGCCCAGTGGTAAGCATGGCATCCATTTAGCAGTTTGCAAATGAGCTGGTGAAGAAAACAAAAAGTGAATAACCCTGTAGGTGATGAAACATGAACAAAGAGCATTAGGGGGAGTCCCAGATAGTGAGGGGCAGGGCACTTGAGGGCACAGGAACCCACCTCGAGTCCTGGCGCCTCACTAGTGGGGATATTGAGGGCAGCCAGGGCCCGACGGAAGCCACTGGCCCCGCAAACTCAGGCCTGACCCTGGAGGTGGTGGCCAGCAGGGAGGGCTATGCCAGGTCCTCGCTGCTACCGAGAGCAAGATGCCCAGTTCTCGCCAGAAAATGCAAGCGAGGTGATGCTCGGTCACTTCCCGGGACAGTTTAAAATGTGGGTGCCGTCCCAACCTGCCCCTGTGCCGTGAAGGGCTTCCTGGTCCTTCACGGGCGGGGTGGTGAGCAAGCAATGGCTGGGCCCCCTGTGGACCGCTGGTGAGAAACAGGCCTCTTTAGTCTTGTGCTACTAACCCACTGGGGTTCACTTGTCACAGCACCGAGTTACCTGACTACAAAATCCCTCTTTTTCTTTTCTTCATTGGATGAGGAGCCGGAGGCTCAAAGGGGCAGATTAAAGCCAGAAGGGTGAGTCGGTGTTAATGATGCCCAGCTCCTCAGCAAGTCCCTATGATCAGAACAGCTGCCGGGCCAGCAGAGGTGCCAGATGATGGGGTCGGGGGAAATACTCTGAAAAATACAAGGAAACAACCAAGATGCATTCTCTGTCAGCTTTCCTGTCCACGGACCCTTGTATTGACCAGGTCCTGTCCATGCAGAATTTCATTTTCAGGGAATCTCTTCTAGCAAGGAAATTTCTCATAGCAAGTGACTATGGAAACAGGCACCCTGACATGCACCAAGCCGTCACCTTAATGTGACACTAGGAAGCCTCCCCACCCCCACGCTCCCGTCCAGCTGTCCCCCCACCTGTATTCATCACCAACACCACCCACGGCAGACTGGGCCAGGCTACTTCACAGAAGGCAGAGTTACCAAAAACAAGAATGGCTTTGACAGGGCCCAGAGGAGCACGGGGCATCACAAAGCCCTCACTTCCCTGCTCGTAATTAGTCAGCACCGAGCACTGGTGAGCCCTCGACCTCTCGTTGTTCACCAGCAGCCATCACAGCAGCCGGGGTGGCCCACGCCCACGGGTGCCGAGACACCCGCCTTCCCAGCAGACCAGGGCCTTCTTATCTGTTCTACGCCAGCATTTGGCTGCATCCTTGGTATGTTTCCTCGAAATGAGTGGAGTCAAATGATGGCAGCACGAATACCAGGCATCTCCTGGGCCACAGCAATGGCTGCACCTTAATGCCGAGCGGGAAGGGACATGACTGCTGCCCAAGGCCATCCAGTGAGTGAGGTGAAGTAAGAGTGCCAGAAAAACAACTCACTCGGAAGGTGCAGATTCCCCTCAACAACTCGGCCCAGAGCAGGGCAACAAGCTCCTCGGGGCACGGCAGCGATAGGCCTCGCCAGAGCATCCCGGGGTCACGTCACACTTAGAGCTCCTGCATCATCTGTCTCCATCAAAGACCTAGTTCCCCAATGGGAGTGGACTATATGTCTTGGCCATTTCCCAGGACCCAGCAAGGGCTCAACAAGCACTTGTGGAATGGCCAGATCAGAGCAGAGACCCACACGTCCACTCTTACTCCACAGAGGGGCATGGAGTTGCCGTGATGTGTTTGTGCACAGGACGAAGCGGGGCCAGGAAGGAAACAGGACCATATTAAGCACACACACATGCGGGAGCCCCAGCCATCCACCCGGGCTGGTGGCCAGAGTGAGTTCACACAGCAGACCCCCGGGGAAAGTGGCATGACACCCCCACTTCACAGGAATAGAGGCAGAGGTCGGAGGGGATGCTGCCCTGGCCAAGATCCCAAGCTGGTCAGAGAGAGAATGGTGTGTCCTCAAATTGGGAGAGATGTAGGGAAAGAGAGGAAGCCATCAGGAAGCAACAGGACAACAGCACAGAACTGGAGAGCCTGGGAAGAACACAGTCTCTGGCTCAACACCTCATCCCATGGCCTGTGGCCCTGCGGACACCCACCTGCCCACACGGATGCCCATCCCCTGATTCTCAACCATCTGAACCGACTTTAAACACACCGAGCCTTCCATCGCTGCCCAGACCAATTAAATCTGGGGCAGGGAAAGGGGGCCAGATACTGAAACTTTTTGCAAAGTTCTCTTGCTAAGCAGAAGTAGATCCATTTCAGACACTGGGTGCCCACGATGCTGCCAAGCCTTCGTTATGTGTGCTGAGGAAAGCAGGGTGAATTACTTGCCCTCAAATTACCGTCTAAAGAAAGTCTCTTCTACACGTAAGAGGTCCCTACACCCTAAGACAGAGTAGGCCCCGAGCTACAGACAGGAAGCCCATGAGGGGGTCAGAGGCCAGAGCACCAAAAACCATGGACCTACAGTGTGACTTGACTCCTGGCAGAGGCACAAAGTTCAACTTCGTTGAAGCCCCGAATTTCTCTGTCCCAGGTCCCGGGCCCCCAGCTGCTGTGGCCATGAGCAGGGCAGGTGAATCAGCAGTGCTTGGGCACAGAAGCAAGACCCTTCACGGTGGCAGGTCACACAGGACTGCACCCTCACTGGACCACTTGTGCCAAGATGGGACTTCCCAAAGGAAGACGCTTCTGTCTGGCTTTATGGCCGGGCCACTGCGGCCACATGCTGAAGGCTGCCGTGGCCAGGGCCCGCACACTGATTATTCTGGAGAGCCTGGAGTCCTGAGAGCCCAGCCAGGGAGACCACGAGACCTGATCCGGTGCAGGCAGGAAGCAGTCGGGGCTGCGGTGGTCTGGGGACGGTGACTCACCCCCAACCCAGGTCTGGATGTCAGGTTAAGTCTTGCCAAGATTAAATCTGGCGAGGAGCCTGGCTACTGCACGGCTGCCCACTGTGCTGCCAGGCCCAGTCTGGGACTGGTGCCCTCACGTTAACCCAAGTGGCAAGAAGCTTCGAGACATTTATCTGCTAAGATAAAAACATCCACCTGGAGAAGCAGCATCTAAAAGCTGGATTCCAGCGGTCAATGGGAAATTGTTGCATTCACAAACCAGGAGTTGTCCAGAAGGCGCTGGAGGTGGAACACTGAGCTCTCTGAGAGGGGCTGGCCTCAAGGACCTGCAGGCTGCCTGAGCCTGGGGCACGGCAGCCCCGAACTGCCACCAGAGACAAAGACAACAGCACTCGCTCAGCCAAACTGCAACTCCTAGTTGGGGTTCCTGGCAACACCTAGCAAGGGGATCTTGTTGGACTTCAGATCACTTGCATCTTTTATCATCAGTTGACTGTTGACTTCCCAGAAATTATGCTGCATGAACTATGAGTCTTACTCAAATGTATTTCCAATGTTAGAATCTGACTAATGAGAAATGTAGAAAGACTGGGTACCAAACACCCCACGTAATCTAAGCATATTAATAGTGTACAGACTAAAATGGTTTATAATGATACTGCTTTAATACTAAAATACCTTAATACATGTATATGTTATATAAGTAGGTCAGTGCATTAAGCTAAAGTATTTAATGCTGATATTATTCTAAAATGATGCAAGCTCATTAAAGACACATTCTATGTTCACCATCCTCACCACACTGTGATTGTCACTGAGGATTCTGTCCATGGAGACACCATCCCAAAGCAAGGGAAAAGAACACGGAGGGGAGCTGGGAGGGAATAGTTTGAACCTACAAGGAAACAAAAGGAGATATACGATATACAGAAATCATCAAGACAATGAACCCCAAAATCAGTAAGGAAGGAGCAAGAGGAGAGGCCAGGTCTGCAGGAGCTAACTCCGCACACCGCCAGTGCCTGTGGGGTCGCACGGATTCGGGCCAGTTTCCTCACTGGGAAGGTGGCAGAGTGTGACCGTGACCTCGGGCAGGCTGCTCCAGGAGTCGGCACTCGTTGTGGCACACAGCAGGGCTTCGAGAGAGGTCACCTTTGCTCTTGCATCACCGAGTCCAGCAGTGTGTGCCGTGAAGCGGGAGAATGACCTCACACATGCAGTAAGTCCACCTACGTGCAGCCCAGTGGCCCTTGAATACCCCGGCGGGAGGGGAGGGGCTCGCACAGCGCTGGTGGGAGGCACCCGGCACGGCTGCAGGAATCAGCGCTCCTGCAAGCACCGAGAGGGCCACTCACCTTGAGACATTTCTAATTTGCAGGCATTTCCACATCGACTACTCTAATTACACACATAGTGCCCTGGGGAGCCCGAGCGGAGACGCATCGGGGTATTCTCCTTAGTTTTCAAGGGAGAACCACCACTATCTTCCTCGCACCGGGGTGAGACGAGTCCACTGGCGTCCCTGCTGCCCAGGGTGGACTGCAGGGCTGCCCACTACTGGTGGACCCTGACCCGAGGTGAGAGGGCAGGCCTGGAGGGGAAAGCCCAAGGGTCCCTGGGCCCTGCCTGTGCTGGCGGGATCTGGTGACACACACATGCGGGGGCCCAGACGTGCACCCCGCGCAAATCATAGCCTCATGCAATATTAGCAGATGCTCTGTTAAAAAGCACAACAAAACCACAAAGTCAAAGCCCCACTCTCGTACACCCTCCAATCACATTTCCCAGAAATGTCTGTTAACAGGAAATACAAGCCCTTCTCAGAATTTCTCCCATGTGCAGATAAAGACACATGCACTGTATCCTCCTGCCTTGTTTTCACCAAAGTGGGCAAATGCCACACGAGAACTTTGGATTAGTTTACCCATGTTACTGACACGGGCACCTTCCTCTGGGCATATATAAAATTTTCTCATTTGCATTTAATTCTCTCCTTTTATTCTGAAATAATTTCACACTTAAAGGAGTTGAAAGATAGCATGAATTGCTACTGTCTTGCAATTGCTCCGTAACGACATCATTATCAAATTGGAACATGACATTACCATCGATGTAACGTTATTGCTTTATTCAGAGACGTTATTCAAATTTCACCAAGAGTGGCTTTTTCTGCTCCAAAATCCTATAGGGTTACACAGTGCATCTGGTTCCCATCCCCTTGGTCTCTGTTAAGCTGGACTTACTCCTCCGTCACCTTGGCCTTGAAGACTACTGACCAGTTATCTTGGACAATGCCCCTCAGTTTAGGTTTCTCTGATGCTTCCACGTTATTAAACTCGGTCACAGGAACTGGTTACCGCAGGAGGGACTGCTGATCCCAGGGACAGGAAAAGCGAGAGCCTGGAACATTACATCCTTGGTGCCAATCAATGTCAAAAGATGGTGGTGAAGGTCAAAAGGACACAGACCAACTTGAAAGGCATCCCAGTGGCCAAATCTAGGAAAATCGGAGCAAAAAAAAAAAGTGGATTTGTGGGTTATAGATAACCAATATAATAAGAATCCATGAGTTCATACTGATACAAGCAATTGAATTTTTTCAATTGGGAAATAAATGGAAGCTGTTCCTTGTATGAGAATTTCCAATGAAAATGTGGAGGTGTGATGAAGTAAACAAACACAGCTGGCAAATACACAGCTTAACAGTTTCAAGCAAGACTGATCAATGAATGTTAAAATTGATCTGGGACAGACTGGGACAGGAAACCTAATATTTTTATCATCTCGAAGTATCTCCTGACATGATATTTAGTAATGGTTAAGGGGAAATAACTCTACAGAGGAAACCTGCAGTCACCCTCCTCCACCCAGTGGCCCAGGCCAGCCCCAGGTGATGACCCCAGCAGTATGACCCCACACATGACATCACCTTATTCTCGGGGACAGCCACGCCTGGCCCCATGGAGCACAGAGGAAGCCCTCGGGCTCGAGGATTCTGTCAGGGCTAAGGCGCCAATTCTTCTGGACCTTGTTCCACTATTTAGAAAGGATGGGCCCATTTGAAGCGAGACTGCTGGTACAGGGTGTGTGCCCCCCAAAACCAGGCACAATCCTGCCCATGCGTCCTTGGGTGAGGCTGGGGCAGCCCAGCACCCTGGGGGGCAGGAGACACCCCGTCCCTGCTGACCTCCATCTCATGCCAGGTGGTGTGCCGCAGCTGGGCAGATGCTGGAAGGATGACCCCGGAGTCAGCAGAGCAGCGTGAGACACACCTGGACAAGGAGAAGCCTTCTGAGGCTTAGCGAGGCCAGGCTGCAGGTCACGCCAGAGACACCAGCAGACTCTTGCGCAGGAGACAGCAGGGGAAAGACCCCAGGATTCGAAATTATCTACAGGGCGCCATTTCGATCTGCTCTTTGGGAGTGACTTGGGAGTGTGAACTCACACCAGCACCCCTGGCCTCAGCCCAGACTTCAGCGGTAAATCCTTATGGGTCTGAAACAATATGTGCTGTGAAGTTTCTTGGTCTGACTTGCTCTCACAGAACCACTTATCTCTCACAGATGTTCTTGTCTTTCACAAACCACTTCAGGTCACTTCGGGTAAATGTCATCACCCTGAGGAAAGCTTGTCTTCTTTATAAGTAACAAAGAGCAAGTAACCTGGCCAGGGACTGACAGACATGTAGCACTGGGAAGCCCCATCAGCGTTCATCTAGATAGCAGTCATTCTCCCTGTTTGTACCCTCCTACTCAGCAGGACTAAGACTGCACTGAGACCACGCACACCCAAGCCTGCATCTCCGCTCCATTCCGTGGCCCTCTGTGAGCACGGACCACTGAGACCTGTTTCCAGTGACGGCCTGCTGGGCCCTCGCCTGTGCTTACCAAGACCTTGCGTTAGGATCCATGCCCCACGGCACCTGCTCTGTGATTGCCCACCTCTGAGATGAAGGAGGGAGAGACGGGGCAGAAGGGCTCGCCTCTGGGTTCAGGGCCCCCTTCTCTGCCAACCAACGAGCCCAACACAATGACAGTCATTGACCAACTTCTGTATACAAGTTGGCGGGATTCCACAGATCTGCCTTCCTGGCTAGGCTGGGCTAGGCTGGGGCAACTCTATTGTGTGTAGAAAGAAAAGGGGGTATGCTCAAGTCCCACCCCAGCGTGACTGGACATGAGACAGGACTGTTATGGAGTAATTCAGGTGAGATGAGGTCTTGAGGGTTGAGCTCCGATCCTCAAGGATAAGGGTCCTTCGAAGAGACCCCACCGCACTGTCTGCTCTCCCTGCAGGAGGGGCAGGCCAGGAAGACAGCCTGGACCCGCTGACCCTGTGTTCCTGGCCTCCAGAAGTGTGAGCCAATAGCCTCCCGGTGTCCTTGACCACCTCGGTCAAGGATATCGAGGTGGTGTCTTGTTACAGCAGCCTCGGTAATGAGCACACACACCAATGCATCCGCACTGTGAACCAGGGGACGCTGTGAATAAGAAAAGGTCAAGGGGCTGCGTGGAGGGCAAGCCTCATGTACAAAGGTCGGTGTCTGAAGAATGACCATCAGCACGATGATGAGCCATGAGAATCCCACGTGGAGTCTGGTGGCCATCATCAATCCCACTGACCCTGGAGGCCATGAGCCTCGGGGTGGGGGTGACAGCGGGTTGCTGGGGTGCCTGGTGAGAAGGTGTTTTCAGACATCAATAGCAAGCAAAGGGGTGAATCCTGGCTGGTGGGGGTGCTGCTGCTTGGTTTTAGCTTAGGCAGCCACAGTCTGCAGACAGCAGTTCCCCATAGGCAGGAGATTCTGGGTCAAGTGGGGGCTGGGGTAAGTGCAAACGGTAGTGGGAAGTGCACTAACTCAGCCTTCTGCCGGGTTCTTCACAGAGGAAACCCCCCCGAAAAAGCACAGGGTCCACACCTCCCCTGATGGCTCATTTCCCCTGCCCAGTTTCTTGTGACGAGGCTGTTTCCACCCCTCCCAGCAGACAGGTTTACCCCTGAGCCCAAGGAGCCCGCCCCTCCAGGGCTGTTGTTCAGAGGAAAGCCCCAATGTCACCTCCACAAGCAGCAGGCTGGGGAAACGGGTTGTTGGCCAACCCCAGGGAGTGGCCTATGTTTGTGGGCATGGGAAAAGACAGCGAGGTGGGGGCAGGGTGCCAAACAGGGGCTGTGGGGCAGCCCAGCAAAGTGAAGGAGATACAGAAAAGCACTCTGCTGGCTATCAGGCTCAAATACGGGAAGAGGAAACATGCTAGTTGCTTTAACAGGAGGGAATTCAGATAAAGAATTAGCCATTTACAGAAAAGTCAAAAAGGGGTCCCCCAGGTCTGAGTAGTGGCACAGATGGAGCCTGGCAGGCCCTGAGGCTGGCTCCTGGAGTGTGGGACCGAGAAACCCTGTAAACTGGAAGCGAAAGTCACCATTGCCCCGGGATGAAGTGTTGATGTGGCAACAACATCAGGAACACGAATAATGGGAAGGGGCAGCCCCAAGCACCCAGCTTCCACTCTCTATTGGAGTAACTGAATCTGGCCTCGGGGGAGCTGGCCTTCAGGACGACAGCAGCAGCCACGGAGCTGCACCAGGGCAGCAGTCAAAACATTTACAAGCCACTAGTCAGGCCAGACCCTGGCAATCGGACAGGCCAGCATCCGGTCAGCATGCTCTCTGGGCAACACACACACCTCTGGGCTCTGGCCGCTGTGCCGGGCTCCCCTGCACTTCTGATCCTAAACCACACTGCCCCCGGGGCAAAGTCCAGTCTTCCCAGCCTGCCACGCTCTGCCCAGGTGGACTTCTGGACCTGTCCGCACATTACGTCCTCTCACCAATTAACACTGAAACACTTCAGTCTGTTCAAAATCCGACAGAGTGTGACAATGTATTAGAGTTAGGACTTCAGCATGAATTCATGGTTACTTGAATATGGGTGCAAGCAGTTGTGTAAGGATTTAGACAACACACGTGTTTTGTTTCTCTACTGGCTGAGAAAGTCCAGAAGCAGTGAAATTCCGGTACCATTGAGCACAACTAGCACCCCGATCTTGGTTTCTAACACCATTCTAAAAAAGGGTAAACAGGGCCTCCTAAGTGACACAGGAGCTATCAAGCTATCGCCAGCCACTGCTGGTGAGTTCAATCCCCAGCCAGGGGGTGACCCATATGGCACAGCAGACCTCTCCTGTCTCCCCACTGCTCCCCTCAACAGTGTATTTCAGCAGATCTGCCTGTTCTACTCCCCACTCTGTCTTTGGTGAATCCTCTCACCCTCCACACTGCTGGCCTGCACCCCAATTCTTGTATGCATAAATAAATCAAAATCCATCTTTAAAAAAGAATAAACAGAACCAGTCTCCTTGGAGAAATGGCTGATTCAAATCTGGGGCAGGAAAAAGAAAAGATGAGCCCAGAGCATCCTGTCATGTCAAAAGGAAAAGAAACGATGGCAGGTATCAAAGGGACACAGAAGCAAGGGAGAAGACAAAGGGCCAAAACTGGAAAAATTGGAACAACATAAAACTCATATTGGAGTATAAGCCAAAGTATAAAACAAATAACTACTCGTTCATGCATGTAAAAAAGGGGAGAAGACACAGACCTCCCAGAGACTCCTTTGTGTAGATTCCCTCCCCACTGGCCCCCAGCACTTTTTAAGTGGGTGCTGTACACAGTGGCATCCTTCCCGGTAATGAGGAGATCTGACTACTCCTCACGGCCAGCCGGTCTGGGTCAGCTGGTCAAGGTCAGCAGGTGCTGAGAAGTCCGGCAGAGTGTTCAGCCTGGACAGGCCATCACAAAAACGGCACTTGGCTTCTGTGCTTTCCTGCCCCAGCCCTCTGGCCAGTCTAGTGATGGAACAAACACCAGGCAAGTCTTCACAGACAAAAAATTAAAAGTGATCGGTGCACCTCTAAATTGTCAAGGTCATCAAAAAAGGACAGGAATGTTAACTGGCGCGGCCATTTTGGATTCTCTCTACTAAGTAATTATATATAGAAACAATCTCAGTTTCTGGGTATCTATCCAAAGAAGGGGAAAACTGTGCATGAATTATATGCTGCATGAAGTTGATCATGGCTTGATTTACAATAGCTGAGATATGGAGGCAACTAAATGCCCACTGATGGCAGACTGGATAGAGGAGAGGCAATGTCTCCACACGGGAGGCTACTCAGCTATACAGGAAGCCGAAATGCTGTCACCTGCAGTGACAGGGAAGGGATTTGGAGGCATTATGTAACGTAAACCAGAACTACCAAGACAAACATCAGGTGATTGCAGGTATGTGGTGATATAAGGAAACACAGTGGATAAACCAACAATTCAAAATAAAAAATCTAGTGGACATTGAGAACCAAAGCAAGGTTACAGGAGGTGAAGAAGACAAGACAGGTAGGAGAAAGGGTGGCGTGAAGGGGGAAAGGCAATCAAGGTCTGAGACAGCATCCCAGCCAAGAACACTCCAAGAGACACAATGGCCAATCGTAAAGGAGTCCT